ACAGAAAATGCTGGATACCTTTTGAGTGCCTTATGTTCCAGATACTCTCTTGACTTTCTTAATGCACAGGAATAGGACTTAAAAACTTTCGTGTTTAATTGCGTTAAATGAACTTCGCAGGACATTCTCAATGTCTCATTATTTTGGCAGTAATGATTTTTGTCGAGTTTGAATCTTCTCTTATTTATCCTGGAGACTATGGATTCTCTGTCATTCTCAGGCTCATGAGCACGTTTAGTACTCCTTGAGATATTTGCCATTTCAGAACTGGAACTCTCGCTGAAAGACGCTAGGTGCCATAGTTTCGCTTTGGCATTTTTCTCAGAAGAATCCGATTCGGTTTTCTTGTCGACGAGCTTTTTCGACTTCGATGAGAGCGATAAAAATGTAGAATCGTTTAAATTTGATTCCAAGAGAACTTTTTTGGTAGCCTTTTCTGCCTTGGCATCCTCATCCTCCGAAGAGTTCATTTCTTGGCAAGATCTTTTATCCGGTGAATCATTTTTTTTCTCTTCAGCTTTAGTTTTGGCTTCGATCGCAGTATTCTTTTCAGCATCAGTACTCGTCTCCTTTACAAGTGTTGAAAACTTTACTGCACTAACGCTATTGACATCAGAATTGTTGTGGTCCGTTGCGTCTTTTATTTCGGTTCGATCAGTATCATTTGCAATCAAATCTTCAATTGGCTTAGCTATATTTTCATCAGAGATTGTATCCGAATCAGAATAAGTTACCAACAGAGCTTTCTTTGCCAATGCTTCAGCGTCATCCAGAGATTCGCTATCATCGATATTCGTTTTGCCAGATAGATTCAAATCGGTATCAGCTTCCTCATTGAATGCAGATACAGATGCCACTTTCTCCTGATTATCTTGATTCGACAAATCCTTTCCTTTTCCACTGTCAGCGGTTAAAAGAGATGTTCCCTCTTTTTCGTTTAAAACGGTATCTTGCAACGAACTTTTGCAAGGATTTAAAGATGTATCCTTGGAATGCAAAAGTTCGTCTTTATCGCAATTTGTTTCTACATTTAGTTCGACTTCCGTTCTGCTTTCTTCTGCATCTTCGGGAGATGTTTCGAACATATCCATTGACACATTGATTATATTCTTTCTGTTCGAACGATTTGTTTCATCATTTCCTAATACCACTTTCTTAATGCTACTTCTTAAAGAAGAATCTTCAATCTCGGTCTGGTTATCAGTATTTAAACTTGTCTGTTTAGTATTTTCATCCGTCAATTGTGTCTTGTTGATGCTCTTATTGCATTCTGAAGACACTTGCTTTTTATTTGATAGTTCCATGCTGGCCCTCCTCTCTTTTACACCTAATACAGGAGAAGCGGCCAAATCATCTCGCGTGTCCACATTATTTTTATCGTTATTCTTCGATTCATCCACTAACATTTTATTTTCATCGTCGGTATTAGTTTCATTGTTATTGAGATTGTTTTCCGTTCTTGCTACTTTGTGTCCAGTCGTCTGTATCTTCTGCGGCGATCTGATTTCATCCGCTGAAAATATTTCTTCGCTTTCACATTCAAACACGGCCTTATTTCCGTCCTGCTCATCGCCGGAGATGTGTTTATCCATGCTCACTGTGTGTTTCTCACGTTCTTCTAAGTATTGTTCGTTATCGCTAACTATTTTGTTTAACTTTCTCCTCATAGTAGATTTTTTCTTATTCCTAGACCACAATTGCCAAGTTGTTAAATTTTTTGAGTTTTTCTTTAATGTAGTTATTAAATTATCAATTTTTTCTATAGACTGCAACACGAGTTGTTCTTCATTTTCTTGTTTGCCATATAACTGCTCTATACTTTTTTCGATATACATTTGAAAGTTTAAACACGTCTTCTTACACCCCGTTAAGATTTTTTTTATATAGCTAACATTCAGATTCGATTGTTCGTTGATATCTTTACCACTCTGATCATTCGTAGAATTTTTGGGTGACTTAGTATGATCTACGTCCAAGTCTATCAATTGTCTCCTAGAGTATTTATTGCGATTCACCTTTTGAAGTTTTATTTTCTGACATTCTTTACCGAAACTATTGTCCGAATCATCTTTCTGAATGTCAGAAAGTCGTTGCTTCGATGACTCGACACGTTTTCGTTCATCATTATTATTGTGCGGTATCATCCAGGGTGTTTCCGAACGTTCTCTCCTATTTCGTTTTTTATCTTCATCTTCAGATTCAATAGTTAAGTCATATTTCTTTGTCCTGTCCCTCGATTTTGCATTATAAAAATTATCCATTTTCTTATTCCGTTGTCTAGTATCTTTTAAAATCCTTTTGAATACACTCGACACTCTGTTTGTATCGTTCTCATCACTTTCGCTGTCAGAAGAATGTATACGACTATTCGTTTTACGTTTTATTTTTTCAAATCTATTACGTTTAACTGTATGTTTTCCTATTTTATTCGGTAACGTATGAGTAGAATCATCATCCGAATCACTAGATATTTTTGATTTCTTTGATGTAGTTTTTTCTTTTGCAACTGATTTTGAAACTTTCTGTGCGGAAGAATTCCGTATAGATTTCACTTTTTGATCTCTCTCGCCTTTATTTCTTTTAGCTAAAGCAGTCGAATTTTCGTTTCGTGCACGAGACAAATCTTCGCTTTCGGATGAATATGTTAAATCTACTTCCAATGTTTGTTTCTGCTGAATGGAGCTTGTATTAGGATTTGTACGATGATTTTTTGGCGTGATTCTTACAGAAACGAATGACTTTTCGGAAGAATCGTCATCCTCTTTGTCACACAACTTTTGTAAAGACCTTTGTTGTAGTTCTCCCATTTTTTCTCTTCGTTGTATCTGAGATGGTAAACTACGCTTTTCCATCTTGTTGAAACTTTTCTTGTTATCCTTTCTGAAACAGAAGATACATTTCATATTTTGTTTTATGATTACATTTATTATATGTATGCAATAAATAATTCACTGTTAAATATTGATCTTTTTTTCCTCTAAAAGCCATTATAATCGGAAAATTATAAACTCTCGTACGAAATCTCCATAAGTCGAAAACTCTATAACTCAAACAATTTTTCTTGTCTCATGAGATTTGAGTTATCGAGGTTCGATTGTATATCAGGATAAAAATATTTAAATGTATACATGTATACATGTGTCAGAATTAAAAATGTACATTCACAATTAGAAAGTTTCACGAGCAATATTCATATGCTTGATTGTACTCACTTGGAAAGAGAGTCCATTACAGCAGCACATACGGCCCTCAGATCCCAAATTGGTTTAGGATTACATATAAAACATTTCCAATCTTCCTTTTCTACGTCCAAAAGCGATGAACTCACATTCCTCTTTATACATCCCTAGAAGTTTTTTAATTAACAATAGTTAATCATACATACTATCATATTTGAATGACTGACATATATATATTTATTGAAAGATATGCTAAATTTATTACCTTACAAAACGCTGAGAAGCAATCTTTGTTGCAGCATACAAATAATTTTTTGTTTCCGCCACAAATGTGACAATGATTTCTAGATTTTTCCTGATCAAATTTCAATTGTATATTTTTGAAATGATTCCAGCATATCTGAAAATAATAAATAAATAAAAATAACATTGCAGTACCTATATTAATTTGCATATA